CGGGCCCCGCGAGACGTGCCCCCCTCCCCCTCGCGGGCTCGCGCGGGGTCTGTTGCAGCCGCGCGTGATGTCACGCAGCACCCAACCCTGTGGGACGCGCTTGTGCTGTGTTCGCCCGTTCTCGGGGCCGCGGGTTCGAGTCCGGGGAGCGGCTGAGAGGCCGGGGGGGACACTCATGGGTACAAGTGAAGTGGCAGGGTGTTTTTTTTTCTTTTCTTCTTGGTCACGGCCACAACGGTTCTTCATTGGCTTGGGCAAAGCCCAGGAGTCAAGGTGCTGAGGGCAAATGTGAGTCCTTTTATTAGACCAGCCCTGTATGTGGCTAAAATGGTGCAGACTCTCCCCAGGAGAGCACACGAAATGCCAACAGTGTCTCCCTCTGCCTGAAGAAGGGTTTTTAAACCCAAAAGCTTGTTAAGATTTCTTCATTGCACCAGCAGAATGACTCCCTGACTCCGGAAAGAGCCAACCGGCTCCAAAGATCACGCTTGTAAAAGTGGAACAACTTGACAACTGATTTCTCTCCAGCTTTTCTTTAGCAGGGTCCTTGGACAGTTCAGGGGTACTTAATGTAGGAGCATAGGCTTTTTTAGGGCTGGCTGCAGGCAAGAAGTGAAGGAACAGCTCCAATTCAAATCCAGCCTGTTTGTTTGGGGGTTTTTAGGTTGAAAAATTGAAATGATATTTCCCCCTGCTCCACTCAGGCCCGGTGTGCAAATGGACTGTCCTTCCCCTGAGCAGACTGCTCTTGTGTGTGTTTTGATGGAAGAAAAAACCCTGGGACAGTCAGCTCTGAGAGAAATCATAGAAGCATAGAAAACTATAGAGAATTATAAGCCTGTTGTCTTTTTAGTCTCTTTTCCTTCAAGATTTAAAAGATAAGAATGGGTGATCCAGATATTGTGGAATATTTATGTCTACATCCTTCTCCCCTGCAATCGTGTCACTTTTTTTTGTCTGGAATGTTATTAAAGTGCTACACAAAGATCCACAATATGCTTTAGAGCCCTTTGTGTTTTAAAGTAAGGAGTTTCTCTCTTAGCTGAAGTTTACTTCTAAAAATAGATTATTAAAAAAAAAAAAGAAGAAATATCTGTCTCTTTCCACAAACCTTTGAATGTCAGCAGTGCAGGGACTGATTGTACAACTGACTCCAGATTGGCAAAGTCCTGTCGAACTTGGGACTCTGTAGGCACATGACTATTGTACTGAAGATAGGGACCTTGGGTAGCAGAGGTTGTCCATCTGAGAGAGAACTCTGTGGCAGTGGCTCTCTTCTGATCTTATGGACTTAATTTAAAAAAACAATCCTTTCATGAATTAAGGTCTCTTCTGTTTAGATCTCTTCCGTTAGAGCCGTAGTTCTCTACGGTTTCAATCTTAAAATGCTACATTCTGGGCATCATCTGGTATGGCTCTCCAGACTGTTGTTGGTCTGCAGCAGCGATTCTCCACCAAGGTGCCTTGAGATCCTTTCGAGGGTGCCATGCAATGTTTTCACTGACAGGAGTCACGAGATCAGCCTAAAGATTCCAAATAGGAATGCATATTATTAATAATAGTCTGCCTTATTGTGGTCTTTTTGAGTTCATTCCAACACAAGAATTGCTCTCATATCTTTCCATAGTCAAAAAATCAAGAGCTAAGAGTTAGCATTTTTGAGAGGTTCCTTGAGTCAATCATGGGATGCCTGGAGTCTGATGAGCACCACTGGTCTACAGACTCGAATTTGAACCATTCTGTTAGACTAGTGGCGTTCAACCTTTTTGTCTACGGGGCCAGATGGGCAGTGCCTGATCCCCCTGTGAGCTGCATCTGGCTGGTGGACCCAATCTAATGACTAGGGTGTGTGCAGCAGGACCCCATCTTGCTGTGGGGAGGGAAATGGAGTGGTGGGTCAGCTTGGTCCAGCCTTATGGGGAAAGAGGGCTTGGCCCAACCCTGACTTGGCCCTGAGAGAGGTGGGGAGCATGGCCCTGCCTTGGAACAGCCATGTGGGGGGAGGGGCCGCGTGCAGTTTGACCCCAACTGGGTTGCATGGCAGGAAGGGGGTGTGGCCCAGCCCCTACGGGGGTGTGCTGAGTGATGGTCATGGTCCAGCTCTGACCTGTTCCTTGGGGTTTGGGATTTTGACAACAGGGAAGGGTGGTAATATTAACTACCATTGCTCCTTCGCTGCCAAATATCTCAATCCAGGAGGAGTCCCACAGTTTGGTTTCCAGGGCTCTGTGGGCCAAAGGCTTGCACCTCTGTGTTAGATAACTGTATCACAGAGTAAATGATTCTGTTAGTTTCTTTAGCTGTCATAGTAAACTTTTATGCTATATGACTGAAATTCAGAACCAATACTTTTATAATTTGAGCACTCACTAAAGTTTCTTTTTTTAAAGACCACGAAAGTGATGATGAGTCATATGAAGTATTGGATTTAACAGAATATGCGAGGCGTCACCATTGGTGGAATCGTGTGTTTGGCCGAAATTCTGGACCAATTGTAGAAAAGTATTCTGTAGCTACCCAGATTGCAATGGGCGGAGTAACTGGCTGGTGAGAGAGGATTCCTTTTGATTATTGTGTCGTGTGTTTATCTGTCCTGAATTGGTCTCTTCCTACAGATGTTGAAATGGATAAATACATTTAATGGTGACTTTCTAAATAGATACTTAAATTCAACTGATGCTGACACTAGATCATGCCTCTAAAGCAGTATTGTCAACTAGGGTGCCATAGCCTTGAAATTCATTCAAGGATGCCACGGGTTGTCATGTACAGTTAGCACTATCAGGCGTTCAAACATCTTTCACAAAATAAACCCAGAGATTTCAAGTAGGAATCCATACTGTTACAAACATTCTGACCTGCTGTGATCCTCCAAGTTCTTTGCAACAGAAGAATTGCTCTATTATTTTTCCATAGTCAAAAAATGAGTTAAAAATGAGTTAAAACTGTGAAGTGGGATTTTCCATCAACTGTCTCAAGTCTAGCCAGGTTGAGAGCCACTACTCTAAAGCTTTACTTGAGATCTGTAACATGCATACATGGCAAAGTAGCCCCTGGCTAGTTTATTGCAAGCGTTCCTAGAAGATGTGTCAGCACTCTTAAGACTAAGGGAAAAAATAGAAAATTAGGAGATATAGTTATGTTTCTTATATCTATTATGTATTTTATTAGTTACCACTATAGGCACAAGAACCTGATTATTGTGATAAAATGTGATTGAGATATACTTCACACATGCAAGCAATCATAAACAAATTGGGGCAGGACAGATTTTAATCAGGAGCCTCTCTTTTTCTAAAGTGAGTTTATTTTTAAAAGCAAAAGCTATTTCTATTAAAAATAGCATGACTTAACATTTTGCTTTTGGCTTAGCTGAAGAGGTATTTAATGGAAATGTTTTGTTAAAGTTGAGTCATAAGTATTAACATTTAGAGTAATGTAAGTTACTCTAAAACATTATTAGCTCATGAAAACACTCAAATCAATGAAAACAGATTTTTCCTATTTAAATGTAGTAATAGGAAAATCCTGTCAATACAAATAAAGGAAAATTATAAGATGAGACTCTAGAAATGAAAGTGAAATTTCCATTTTACAATTTGATAAAATCACAAAGGTAGTTCTTAATATTTAATGTTTGTTAGTCATTGTAGAAATATTAGTGTTTCAGTATACTTTTAAACCTGAAGATGTACTTCTAAAGTTGTTAAAAGGTAGGTAGATATATATTTTTAAAATAACTTCTTTTCCTAAAAGCTTGAGGTGGATTTTAATATTTATTAATTTGTCAAATTGAGAGGCCTAGAATTGAAGGTGCAGTTTGTGCAGTGACCGTGACATTTTTTAACAGTCCTACAAAAAACTTTTAACCTTCCCTGCACAGCCCATTGCTAGAAGTGAGGTGGTGGATGATTCGGTTCAGGTGGCCAGGAGGAATGTTTAATGGGAGGATGGCTTTTCTCTGCTAAAAAAATAGACTCAGCCTTGTCTACACACAGGGTTTGTTTGTTGTTGTTTTTTGGGGGGGTGGGGAGGGGTGTTAAGCAGTGCTAAGCCCTAACTTTTCTGGTTAGAGCTGTAATTTATTTGTGGAAATAATTAACTTGGTTTAAGAACATCAATGCTAGAAGTTATGGTGGTATAAGAATGTCTTTTACTGGTATAGCTTATGATGTTTCATTGTGGGAATGGCTTTGTTTGTAAAGGCACATCTATACTAATACTGGTTATGCCAGTATAGTTAGAGGTGTAACTTTTGTGTGTAGACAATGCTGGAAGCCACCAGCCCGCTTTACAGAGGATACTGAATAGCCATTAGCTGATGATTACTATGGCTGTAACTAGTTTTTAATACACATTACCAATAAAGTGCTTATCATAAATTCCCAATCATAAATTTACAGGCTACAAATTAAGAAATAGGGAGGTGAAACTCATTTCAGTACACCAAATGTTATCTGGCATTTGGACAACAATTCTAGAAAGTCATATTTTGGGACATACAATTTCATTGGAATGTGTTTTTTGGTTTTCTTAAGGTGTGCAGGATTTTTGTTCCAGAAAGTTGGAAAACTTGCAGCAACTGCAGTAGGCGGTGGCTTTCTTCTTCTTCAAGTATGTAGGATTTTACTTTTTGATATTTAGATACTATTTTGTTCAAAGTATATGGGAAAGACTAAACTGCTTTGTTTACTTCTGTTGGGAAGGAGACGATTGGTTTTATATCTGCTTTTTCCTACTAAATTTACCATCTGAAAAACTGTCTCAGCTACAGTATTTCTGTGCCAAATTAAAAAAAAAAGATTTTTAGATGATCCTTTTATCATTAATATTATTTTCTTAATAGTTTGAAGTAAACTGAAAGAATAAAACCTTAATGTAGAAACAGAAGTTCTGTACTTGATTTAATATTGCCATGCTTAGCAAATTGTTTATATAAAAAAATAAAACCAGATGAATAGATCAAGGAAAAAATAACTCTGATTTTCAAAAGTGCCTATGGGAATTAGGTTTCTATGAAATCCCAGCCAAAGGGTTGAGTTTGCTATCATAATGTTGAGGGCGCAAAAAAATTCTGTTACTTATCTTCCTGGAAATAAATGTAGACAAACTGCATTAACTCTTCCCGCAGCAGGTGTTTGAGATGAACACTGCATTTTATTTCCTCTTCTCCCTTTAGTTGTTAGTAGCTCAGTTGTGGCCCATTTCTGAGGTTTCCTTTCCTCCCCAGCCTTCACTTGAGTAGTTTTATCAACTCCTCTAGTTCCCTGGCTTAGACTTACTTTCACTTCTGCTGTAGGCCAGATTATTACCTTTTAAGTCTGACCACTTGCATGTTGCCTCAGAAGTTGGGTTTAAATTATAACAGTGGCCCTAAACCCTCTCTGGTCCATGAACAACAGTATTGAGCTGCTGATGTATTGTGGGTGATGCCATCCTTTGCTCTCTTTGTCAACCTCTGTTTTAACATTTTAATGTCTTTGTGTCTGTAGGCATGTCTACATGAGACACTTACTGCACAGTAGACTAATTAGCTGCACAGTCTTTGCTTCTACATGTGCGCCCCTCTTAGGCTAGAGTAAACAAATTTACTTCAGAGCAGGATAGTACTTGTAAAACAAGATGTAAAACAAGTACTATCCTGCTGCGGAGTAAAAAACAGCAGCGCATGTGTAGATGCTGAAGGGGCTGGCTGGGGCATGAGGGTGCTTCAGTGCAAGGGCTGCCTGCTGACTAGCCCCCGGCTGAAGCACCTTGGTCCCATGGCCAGCCCCTTCGTAGCGCACCTTTGTCCTCTGGCCAGCCCCTTTGTAGCACGTTGAGCTGGGTAGCAGTCCCAGGCTGGCAAGCTGACTCCCCGGGCACCCTGCCAGCAGGGGCTGGTCCATCCCGGGTCAACCTGCTGTGATTCCCAGGTGCATGTGCAGACACGTTCCTGGGAGCAATAAGCACTGGAGTTTATGGCTCTACAATAATAGGCATGTGTAGATGCACCCTGTGAGTGACATCAGAAAGCTGCTGCCCATGAATCTGGGTTGAGGACCAATGAACTAAGCTATGCATTTTTAGAAAGCGCACCAGTTTTGATTTAAAGACTTCAAGTGGTGGAGAATCTGTGGCATCTGTTTGTAAGCTGTTGTGATGATTAATTACCTTCACTGACCCTTCCCCTGTTAAAATGACCTGCTTTGTTACTCAGGCCATTTCAGAGAGAGTGAGTGAATGGTTAGTACTCAACCAGCAGGTTGGTTCAAAATATAGAAAAGTTATTTTAAAGACAGGGATGATATTAGAGAGAATTAGAGCTTATCTTTGTTGTGCAAAGGTGTTTGAAAAGCCTGTCCCAGTTTTCCTTGTTCCCTTGATGCTGAATGCCCTGTGTCACAATCAACCATCATGGGATTTCTGAATGTTGCCCCTTAATTAGTCAAATGTCATTTCTGAGCTGTAAAAGATTATTTTGGTAGTTATACCTAAAACTGTGGGATAAGTGCCATAAGAACATTACATCTGAAAAGCCCAAGAATGACTGTCAGAGTTCTAGTCAGAGTACTAGTCAGTTTGCAGCTGTGAGCAGGCTGAACTGTTTCTGGTAAACCACTATTATGAACTATTCCCAATGACTCAGAGGTGCAAGTTTTTATACAGGCAATAACCAGTGAGGCTTAGGGGTACTCATTGCACCCCAGTATTTAAAATAGTTTTTGCCTAGGAAAACATGAGTTTGGGGACAAAAGTGACTTCTGCATGGCCAAACAGCCTGCAGTCACTTGGATGTCTTCATCAACTCTTTTCATGCAAAATGTGGATTAAAAATTACCTTACAAAAATGTAAAATGCTGTAGACAAGTGAGGGAAATAGGTTTTCCATATATGTTTGCAGATCTATTGCTTCTTTTTTTTGGCTGGACTTATCTATGCTATATCTGAAAAGGATGCTTAGCACAGAGGTAAAAAGTATTCGACAACTAGGTTAATTTATATAATTTTTAATTGGCTTCAGATTCTGCTGGAAATGAATGTAGTAAATGTCTTTGTAACTCCTAATTCTAGCTACATTTTATTTTAAACTTAGACATAAAATGTGTGATAGCGTAATTACACTTTTTTTAGTCCTTATTTTTTTTCACTGATAACCTCTTTTAAATGCACAGTGTGGTTGAATTCACTGATATCAACCTCATCCAAGTACACAGTGTGACTCCAGAAATATTAGGGATGTCAGAAAGTAACAAGTATTCACAAATAAAATCATTTAGTGTGTAGTGATCATTTATGGGACAATATAACTTCTCTACATAGTCATAAACCAGTGGTGCTCTATATTTTGGCCCAGTGGGTTGCATCAGGGCCTGGGTGCCATCATTGGGTCTTGCACCACCCCCATTGTCCCTGCGCGCTTGGATTGGGCCCTGGGCTCCCTCTCCAGTTCCATGTCACCTCTGCCCATGCCAGTACACCATGATACAGTGTGCCTGATACAGCCCTCAGGGCCACATTTTTGGGCCCACAGGGCTCCCTGTGAGTTCAGCAACTTGGCCATAGGGGCATGGCAATTGCTGCTACTGCTCTCCTGCTGCCAGATTTCTGGATGTGTGGGGAGCCCCAAGAGCTGGATGATATGGCTCTGTGGGCTGATCTGGCCCATGAACCATGGTTTGAGTACCTGTTGTAAACAATGGGTGTTAGGCAATGCTGCCATCAATATTCTTAGTAGGGTTACTATATTTCCAGGTCCAAAAAAGATGATACCTGTCACCCGGGGGGGGCGGGGCGGAGTGTTGTAGGGCAGGGGGAATATGATGGGAGAGGGGGGCAGTGACATGCCAGTGCCCTGCCCCTGCCCATTCTGTTGCCCTTCACTGACAAGCCACCACCCCCAGCCCTTCTGCTGCCCCTTACTCTGGACCCACTGACCCCAGCCCTGCCAGTGACCCTCACTTCCAAGCAGCAGTACCCTGCCCCCCACTCCTTGCTGGTGACCCTCAGTCCCAACCCACAGCCCCTTGCTGCTGTCAGTGCCCTGCACATCCAACCCACAGTAACCCATCCCATCCGCCGTGCCCCTCACTGCTGATCTGCAGCCCTGGCAGTGCCCTTGACTCCCTATGCACAGCCCCTGCCCCCCAGCTTGTGCCCCTCACTCCAGACCTACAGCTCCCTGTGCCCTTCCCAGCTCTGGCAGTGCCCCTTGCTCCTGACCTGCAGACCCCTGCCCCCCCCCATCCCCCCAGCCCTGCTGCCAAAGCAGTTCCCACATTCACATGTTCTGTTGCTTGCTTGTGCTCGCTCGTACTCGCACTCTCTCTCTCTCTCTCTCTCACCTGGCTTGCCAGAGCCTGCACAGGGAGCACATGACGCCCGACAGCCAATCACCTTGCCTGCTGCTCCCAGCCCCAAGAAGCCAGCTCAGGAGAGCACAAAACCCAGACACTTGCTTTTATTTTTAAAAACCCGCCCACATGCAGCCACAGGGGTCCAAAAAAGAGGACTTGTCCAGGAAAACCCAGACATATGGTAACCCTAAGCTACTGTGTAGTTTCCCCACTGTGTCATAGGCAACCATTTTTTCCATTAGTTTCTGAAATACCTTCAAGCATTGAATCGGCAGAAGAACACTCAGCATGCAGCTAAGCATTACTTTATTTAAAAAAAAAAAAAAAAAAAAAAAAAAAAAAAAAAAAAAAAGTTCCCTAAAGCTGCAGGTTTCAATGATTCCTCATGATGCAAGACATTTAACTACCAAAGATCTACTGGAGTAAGACTGGAGAATAGCAGAAAAGAGTGCTTACATAATCAGAGTGCCTCTGATATTTAAGAGAGAACTTCTGCATTTTTTTTATAGCAGTTTGATTCAGGGTTTCTAGTTGGACAAAAATTGTGTATCTCATTGTCACTTCTTAGGAATAGCAGAAGCTACTTGTTTCAAGCTCTGAAAACTGCCAGCTAGCAGTTTCATGACTAAATCCATTCAAAAGTCACCTTGGTCAGGGTATTAGATGAAGAAAGAAGAGGGAAATAATTTAATTTAATCAACCTGTATAACTATTATAAGTCAATGCTGTAACTAAATCTTGTGAGAATTTGGTATCTGAAACAAGTTAATTTGATCAGCTACATAGCACTTTTTATCAAAAGACTTTATTTATCCTAATATGTTGATACATGACTGATTCAATCCACTATAATAAAAATAGACATTAGAAAAAAATTAAAAATTCACCTATAACAAATGGGTAACAAATTAGTCAGTTTTACATGGTTAATTTTTAATTTATCAACTGGCACCACACTTACGATCTTTAAAAGAAGAGGCCTGATGCACATTGGGCATGTCTATATGTTCATTAATGTGCTGTAAATTACGATGTATTAAGTTTAGTACCTGGAGTGATAGGTACTAACTTAATGCACTGTAACCAGCGCTACTGTGCATTAGCGCAGATAAATGCTTTTTTAATTATGTTAATGCGCATTAGATTAAATCTGTGCATTAGCATATTAGCACAGGTTTTGCCTGCCATGCTAATGCACAGTAGAATTAGTCTTCTGCACATGAATTTTCTTGTATAGATGCACCCAGTATGGGGAAAATGTCAGCTCCTTAAAATGTTGATCTGCTATGATGAGTTACTTGCTTTAAAATTTTTTTTAAAAAGCACCTTCTTTTGTGCTTCCATATATCCATATATATATAATTTTTTTTTATAATTGTTCATTTCAGCGACAGTGTCTTTAATGCTTTTTGTTCTTGTTTGTACTCAATCGAAGACCCACAGTTTTGTCTGTATTTACCATTATTTGTCATGAAGAGCTTCATTTCTAGTAAGTCATTTATACTTTCTCTTCCATATTTAGGCCATTCCATTTAAAACACTGTTGATGGATTCAAGTCAAGTCTTCAATTAAGTGCTTCTGTAACTAAGACCAAAATCAAACAGCAATAAAAATAAACCCTTGAAAACCATGCAGCAAGCAAAATTTAACACTAGGCTTTGCCTGGTTATTTATTCCACAGGGGTTCTGTAGTAGCTGTGATAACATGGCATGATGTATGCTGGGGCATCTCAATGAAGTGGGGCGAGGGCAACTTGCTACTTTTGGGAATTCGAAAAGCAAAAGGTGAGGGCTATATTAATTCTTGTGCTGAATATCCCACTTGACAGCTGTTTTGTGCAGAGTTTGAGGGACATTCAACAGAAGTGCCAAAGCAGTTGGATTTTTTTGATGGAAGTTTGCTGTTAAATGTTCTAGTTTTGACAGGTTTTACTAAAAGTATTTGGGGCCTGATTATTTAGAACTACTGCCTATCTCAGTATGAAATCTGTACTTCTGGAGCAGGGTATTCTTATAACCACTGCCTGTTCTGTAATCAGTTGTGTATATTCTAATGTATCAAGCTTTCACCTTATTCCCAAAACTTCTCAGTTTCATTAAATGAAAGTGAAACGATGTAGAGGTTAATTCTTTAGTAATCCCAATTACCTCCATGTGCATCTGCATTCTATTTGTTATGTTCCTTTACAAAGTTGTGTGCAGCTCATGTGAATAAATGCAGGCTGGAGCAAACTGAGCAACATTGTGTGGAAGGTATGCTTTCTGATTTAATGGCTTCAGCAGAACTGTGGCTGCAGATCAAAATTTGATATTTAAATTGAGGGAATTATGAAGGTGGAGTTCATTGCTCCATAGCTGACAATTAACCTTGTTCACAAATTTGAGTTCTCAACCTCTTTAGTTTACTGATATGAAGTTCTCCAATTTCTGTGATGTAATGCAGGGTAGGAGAATATTTTCATGCAACTTTTCATACTGCCTATCAATTTTAAAATCCAACTTAAAACACTTTTTTGAACAGTTCTTAAGTGTGTTGTGGGTTAAGGTAAAGGTGGTTATTGGAATGTGTAACATGGTTTTCATAAGTGAATATTTAAGAAAATATGAGCTGGAAGGATAATGGAACTTTTTTTTTATAAATTATTCTTGTTGCTTTTGTTATTTTAATGCTTTAACTGTAGCAGCTTTTAGTTATTAGTTATTGGATATTTCTCAGTCTTGTTAGTGTGTTGCCAATGAAGTCTTTGTTTTCAATGTATATTGAAAAGAGGAGTAAAGATTGTGGTCACTAAAGTAACCAGTGATTACCAATTCAGTCTTTTAATGCATTCACTTTGGCCCCAGTCCCAGTAACACTTTCACATAACTCATTGAAATAATTGCATGTTGGCAGGACATGGGCCTTTATTACATATTTCAAATTTTAAAATATATTCACATATGTACACCAAGAGTTCTTACATACACAAATACACAAGATTAAAATCATTCATTTTTGGTAGTTTTTTTTTTTTTTATTTAAAGTTGTAGCTGAGGCCAAATTAGCTAAAACTAATTCCAAACCCAAGAGTCCAGAACCATAAGTGGCCCTACTACTGGCAAACATTCTCCACCCACACCTGGGGCTTGGGATGTTTCCAAAAGCTTTGGCGGGCATCCTACTGGCGGGCCTAAGCTTGGAGGCTTGGGGTTCGGATGCCCCTGAGTTTTGCTTGCCCTTAGCCAGAAGGCCCTTGGAGCAAGCAGGGGAGGAGATTCCTATTTCCATAAACTGGGCTTAAAGCCACCATACCTTGGTGGGTTCTGAACCATGTTAGAAGAGCAGTTCTCCTGCAAGGTGGTTCAAGAAAACTGCCTTCATGGACACAGATACATGGTATTTCCACTGCCAGGTTAAGAAGCCACTACACTTGAACTAAGCCTTCAAGAGGACAAGAAGCAAATAATTAGTAATTCAAAGACCATTTCTACTAAATAATTTGAAAAATTTAGTATCTCTTCTGTTGAACAAGTGAGAGCTCAGATATGACGGTTGGAAAGGTAAACAGCCTAATGGAAAGAAAATCTGCAAAATTTAACTCGGTCCTTATTTGGAGATGTAGATCCAACACACTAAATAAAGCACTTTTGGCTAACAGTGGAATGAGCTGAATAGTATATAGGTTTTTTAATATTAAAGATGAGAAGATAAGTCTTCTGTCAGAAGTTTAGATGAGATTTACTGTGTCCTGTCACAAATTTGAATTATTATAATATTTCTGAAAAACTAAACTGAAACAGCTGTTTTTAGTCATCTTATCAAAATGCTTTTGATTTCTATAAAGCAGTAACCAATGTGAATCTCCAACATTACAAAATAAAGTGGGGAGGGGGATGAGATGAACAAGCATCTGTTGAATCCTGCCAGTTCTTATTCAGATTATATTTATATCTTATTGCAGAAATATTGCTAGTGTGCTGAAGCACAACCTCTGTAGCATCTGTAGTTTGCCTTTATCTGAAAAGGCAAACTCCAACCAGTTCTTAAAGTTGGGTATATGCAAACTTCTTATCTGTTGATTCTTACAAGTAATATTGGTCTATAATTGTTTTAATCTTCTTAATTTTCCTAGATTGCTAGTCATAGTGGATATGTACAAGTTGACTGGAAGAGAGTTGAAAAAGATGTAAACAAAGCAAAAAAACAGCTAAAAAAGCGAGCAAATAAGGCAGCACCTGAAATCAATACCCTCATCGAAGAGGTAAGGCTCTTTGGTCTAAACTGGAGGTTCTCAACCTTTTTCTTACTACGTATCCTCTCCCAGATTTACCAACTGCCTGTGTCCCCCTACCAAGATACGTTTTATATTTTAACCCCTTAAAGGTTAATTATTATTATAATGAAAATTAAATCTGCCATTACACAATTTCTCCCACGTACCCCCTAGAGATGTCTTGCATACCCCCAGGGGTACACAAACCCCTGGTCTGAACTGCTAAATACTTTCCTATTGGCTAAGCTTTCTGACTTTTTTCATTGTAGATTATGACAGTCCTGTTATCTAAAGCCTTAAGCAAAGTTTTATACCAAATGGAAGGCACCTAGACCCACTCCTAAAGTCAGACTTTCCAAAAATATTTAGCTGAGGGTATGCTTTAATAAATATAGAATCTTTGCAGTCCAACATATTTGCAATATTGATGTTCACAGATTTTTAGCTTCCAGCTGAGCTATTCTTATGGTGGACTATGACAAGTGATTGCCTCATGGTTGATTATGCTTCAGGGCTTTTAGTCATAAAATGTGCATGAAAAGCAATGTGCCCATTCTGTGAAGTTAACTAGCTGTAGAACACCCTGTACATTCCCAGAATGTGGGTTGATTATCACTTTCAGTAAAATCAAATTGTTCCCTTGAACTGGGAGGGGGAAAAAGCCTATTTTGAAAAAACAATAACCTGTACCTCTTGAATAAATGTTATAGCCCTTTGTAGCTGGAGTTGCACTCATAAACATGTAATATTTAAGCTGTTTTATATGTGTGGATGCCCAGTTAGTGGTACTGCTGGCAGTGTCTAGAGGATTTTATTGTCCTCTGATATAGCCCTTGCAGGAACTTTCTAAAGTACCTGCTACTGAAATATGCTTAAAGTCATTAATCTTTTTTTATATTTGATAGGTTTTAAGTGAAGGTGTTCACATCTATGTAACAGGAACTATTATGCCTTTGGTAGTTTTCCATCTAATTTCTTGAACACCAGATTAGGGAGTGTCACCCTCTCCAAAATGTCTATTCTGTGCTTGGTATTGATGTAGTAAAGAGAAACTATAACACAGTTTCTAATATTGCTCAGGACCACTTATTTAGAAAAAGAAAAAGTTAGAGGTGCACCGATACATGGGTCCAATATCGGATCAGCACTGATATAAAGAAAATTGGCTGGATTGGAAATTAGCCTGATGTGGTCGATAATTTGGCCAATAAATGCCTGTGTGCGCGCGCAGCATGCAGACAGCGAGGAGCACAGCCCAACAGCTTGGAGAGCTGCATGCAGCTGGAAAATCTATTGTGGTAGAAGGGGATGGGGGAGGGAAGGGGCCTGAGGAGGCAGATCAATGTTCCCCATGGTGAAGAAGGGAGTCAGGTGGAGGAGACGCTGCCCAGCCAGGGCAGAACGCGAGATGGAGCCACAGCTCATCTGGGGGAGGGGGGCGGCTCCTGCCCCCCCCCCCCCGGGGCCACAA